TCAAGCTTATGCGCAATCAATCACACAAGTCGCTTGCCAGGCTTTTTCTCAAGCTCATGCAACATCAATTTCTCACCCGTTTCTCTTCTGGACATTTTGTCAGGCCTTTTCTCAAGTCTGCGCAAAGTCAATTACTCATCCATTCTTCTCTTTTGGACATCTTGCCAGACCTTTTCTCAAGATCATGCAACGTTAATTACTCATTCATTCTTTTCTTCTGGACATCTTGCCAGACTTTTTCTCAAGCCTTTGCAAAGTCAATTACTCATCCATTTTTTTCTTCTGGACATCTTGTCAGGCCTTTTCTCAAGTCAGCGCAAAGTTAATTACTCATTCATTTTTTTCTTCTGGATATCTTGCCAGGCCTTTTCTCAAGTCTGCGCAAATTCGATTACTCATTCATTCTTTTCTTTTGGACATCTTGCCAGACTTTTTCTCAAGCCTACGCAAAGTCAATTACTCATTCATTATTTTCTTCTGGACATCTTGCCAGACTTTTTCTCAAGCCTGCGCAAAGTCAATTACTCGTTCATTCTTACGCTTATGGTACCCTTCTCTTTTACACGCTTTTTCTTTGGTAGATGGCACACCTTCGCCCCACTGAAAATGCGATGTCCCCATCGCACGACTAGTTCTCACTCGGAGGTGCAACCTTTGGCCCACCAACGAGTAGGCGAATGCCGGCCCATCAGCCCCCAAAAAGAAGGGTGATCAGTCCTCCCCCTGCTGATAACTCACCTCATCCCCTTACTCCGTCCGACCTTTTGCCGCTTACCAGACGGGCGTCATTACTGAGGTACCTCCTCACATCTGGAAGGCAGGTCCAGTCCAAGCCTCCCAGGACCCCGTCTTGCCGTAAGGGCTTTCTCGCGAATCGTTCCTCCCGAGTGGTGTTTTCGTGGATCCGGCCTCTTCCTTTCAAGAGAGTTGGGGCTCTCAGTTAGTCCACGAGTGCAATTACGAAGACCTCGCAATTAGTCCCGAAGCGGTTGTAATGCTCCGGCGGGGCAGTGTCACTCGCCCCGTGGTGGTTGCGGCTTCCACTCGGTACCACGCCCAACTCCTCCCTTCTGGACAGTGCTGCTCAACTTAACACGAGTCGCCGTGGTCCATTCAAAGCGGCCATGCCGCCCCTCAACGACATGGCGTGTGGTTGGGGAGAACAAAAGAGGCTAGAAAAAAAGAATGGCTCTCTCGCCCATTTGATTCCTTCACCCTTTGACGTTTAGGCGTTCAACACGAGGCGCAATTTGAACTTCCCGACTAGAGCTCGTTGTCGGGGTCAATTCTGGACGTCCCGCACTGATCCACGTGGTAGGTGGCTTGGTCCTTTAACCCTCATCCCCTTAAAAGAGGAACAGGTCGCGCTGAGACTTTTCCCTTACAGGGAGGGTCGCGATGCGAGCACCGATATCCCCCTCCTGCTGAGGCCAAAGACTAGAAAAAAAGAAATTCATTTCAATGCTATTTCCAAGTCCATTTCAAGTTGCCTAGGGTCCCCTGCCTATGCAATGCAATATTCAATCCTCAATCATTCAATCCAATGCTATTTCCAAGGTTGATTCTCATGGATGGTCTGACAGCCTCTTATAAACAAGACCACCCTCACGGTCGGTCTGGCGGTTATTCTCTCAATAGTCATTTCTCAAGACTGACCCTTCCGCCCACTCAATCCTCAATTTTTTCATTCCTCAACACCCAGTTTCTGTGACCGTCCCAACGGTCCCTGCCCTTCTCGGCTTTAAGGTTCCGCCTTCTTTATCTTGTCCTTCTCTTTCGAATTTTTCTTCCGCCACCTTGGCAATTTTCAGTGGCCGACCCACCGGCCTTTTCCATTTCCTCCATTCAACTCATTGGCTATTTCAACGACCGACCCACCGGCCTTTTCCACCTCTCTCATCCATCCTTTGGCTGTTTTCAATGACCGACCTACCGGTCTTTTCCATTTCTCTCATCCCATTGGCTATCTCAATGGCCGACCCACCGGCCTTTCCCATCTCTCTCATCCCATTGGCTATTTCAGTGACCGACCCACCGACCTTTTCCATCTCTCTCATCCCATTGGTTATTTCAATGACCGACCCACCGACCTTTTTCATCTCTCTTATTCATCCCATTGGCTATTTCAATGACCGACCCACCGGCCTTTTCCATCTCTCTCATTCCATTGGTTATTTCAATGACCGATCCACCGACCTTTTTCATCTCTCCAATTCCAGCTCATTCTCAATCAACCTTTCTCAATCAACCTTTCTCAATCCAATATGCAGGGGACCCCAGTGCCTATTTCAAAAGGAATAACCCTTGTCAGGGGCCATTCCCGAACAACCTGGTTAGGGTCGTTCTTTTTCATTCCCGAGTCGAACAGCCTGGTTAGGGCCATTCATTTCCATTCTCAAGTCGAACAGCCTGGTTAGGGCCATTCCTTTCCATTCTCAAGTCGAACAGCCTGGTTAGGGCCATTCCTTTCCATTCTCAAGTCGAACAGCCTGGTTAGGGTCATTCCTTTCCATTCTCAAGTCGTACAGCCTGGTTAGGGCCATTCCTTTCCATTCTCAAGTCGAACAGCCTGGTTAGGGTCATTCCTTTCCATTCTCAATGTTAGTGCCCGAGGGGTTGGGCCTCGAGGTTACGGATCTCATTTTTGTCTTGGAGGTTAGAAGGTGACCATCTCATCTTTTGCGTGTTGTTCTCTTTCTTCCATTTCTCACAGTAATGTACCATTCATTCCATTTCTCACAGTAATGTATCATCCATTCCATTTCTCACAGTAATGTACCATCCATGCGTACATCCGACTTAGCGTCTAGCACTCGAGTCGGGGCTTGCGACCCCAAGCAGCACTAGCCCACCCGGTCGTTCATCCATAACAAAAGACAAAAAGCGCCCCTTTTATTTTCACTCTTCCTGATCTCTCAGGTTTCGGCTATTTTCAGTCTCATTCACGAGTCAGTTGGATTAGGCTCCTAGGGAAGGAGTGTTCTTCACGCCCCTAAGCCCATAGGTTCCCTAACCTCTCTTGTACTCGACCAATCATTCAATGTCATGGTTTGCTCGTCAATCCGTACTCAAGGTTTTCCCCTCTCAAAAGCATAATCCTTGTTCCATCCGGATTTCATAATACACCCTCTCCCAATTGGTCTCATCCCAAATCCAATGTATTTGTCTTAGGTACCCAAGGTAGCTCATCCAAAAAGTAGCCTAAAAAACTATCTTCTACTTTAGCGTGACACAGCCTTGGCTAGCCCTCTTTTCACTTCCTCCTTAGCAAGCTTGCCCATATTATACACGTTCTCGTCATTCTCATGTCTCTGCAGACAGAAAAGCCGCGATCTCTTTCAATGCTAGGTCAATACCTAGGTCAACACCTACTGCCTTGCGCCTCGTCTTGCCCAGTTCCTTGTCCACCCTGTTCCTTGGCAGGCTTCCTAATCCCCAGGCCGTAGGTCTCGATCTCTCTTTTCATCTTTACAATTTTATACAACTCTGCCTCGTTGAAAAAATCCAGTGGTGTGGCTTCCACCCCTGCCCTTGCGAGTTCCCGAGTCTTGATAATCCATTCGTGCCTGATTACATTGGTCCATTGCTGAAACCAATGACTGGGCGTTGGCCCGAATTCGTCCTCCCATCTGAAGGTCCCATCGCCCGGTTGGTGCATCGGAGGCCGCCTTCTTCCCTAGACCTTGAAATCTCATCCCTCTCATCCCCGCTGCTGATTTCTATGAATTCTCGCACATCCTCCTCCTCGTCCCCTTCGTCTTCAGTCTGTATAGGGCTATACTCATCAACAAGGTTCTTTGGATCGTAGGTAAAAGGGATCTCTGTCCCCGTCCCATACCCCTCGCAACTGCCGTGACCGCTTCGTCCTTCAAGCGGGCTCTCCCTTTTCTCCTCGTCCTCCTCACGTTCGTCGCGCATACCTTGTCCCCCCTCGCTTTCCCCATGCCAAGCTTCACGTGGTTCGCCCATATTGGCCCCTTCCTCGTTAGAGACCCGAGCCTTATCACCCATTTTTGTGTTGCCCCTTTCTTCCACATTTGCCCTTCCCTTTTTGCTCTCACTGTCAGATGATATTTCTATACCTTCTCCCTTGCGGAGGGGTGAGGGTTTCCTACACAAGCATTTTCTTCCACCCCTGCCTACCACTGGCCCGCCCATGAGCCCAATGTACAATTTTCTCTTCGCTGTCCTCCTCCCTTGGCTTGGTCCAACTTCTTCCCCTCCGGTAGGCCTGTTGATTGCCCCGCTGTCGTTCTCATTGCCGAATTCCATTTTTGTTTTTTTTTGTTTTACTCCTAAGCCCTGTATAACAAAACAACACTCGCAATGTCCCTCATACACTTACGCCTCCCCCCCCTTAGGCCGGTAGACATTCCCAAAATGCACCCAGTATCCCTCGCATCACGCCCTTTTTATACATGCGAATGCGTCGTTTGTGATGACCCCATATTTTTCCCGTCAAAAAGTATAGTACAATGCCCCAAACATCCCTTCCCGTTGTCATACAAGCCAGATATTGCAAACCCCCAAGTCATGCTACCTTTCAACCTCAATCAGTCCAAGCCAAAGCACCAGTCCTAAAAAAATGACAGTCCCACGAACATGGTCAGAGACAAACCATAGTGTGGGCAAGGCTGTGGTTAGTCTTTAGCTTGTGGCTCCTCTGTTTCCTTATCTTCGGCCTCCTGAAGCCATTGTTCCACTCGGTCCCGACTTAGAAACCTGACCAGTCGTTGCCCCGGGAAGGGCCCTTTCAATCCAGTTCCATCCAAATCTTCCAGTTCGAAGGTGTTCAGTCCCACCTGCTTGGCGACCCGGTAGGCGCTTTTGAACCTCCTTCCCAACTGTCCCTACCAAGTACTTTCTAGTGCCGAGTTTCTTAGCAATACCATCTCCCCCACCTGAAGTGGCTCCTTTCTGACATTCTTAATCTGGTCCCACCTTGCTTTGTCCCTCATTCTGCTGTCCTGCACCCGGTCGGCGATGTCCTCCATGGCCTCCTCATTTTTAAGGATTTGTTGACATCTTGCCTCGATTAACTCTTCAGTGGTCATTTGTGGATCATCATCTAACCTATTCCAGGTAGGTACCAAGGCTTCTATAGGAAAGTCGAGCTCTCTTCCGTACCAAAGCTCTGCCGGGATACATCCTGTTTTCCTTTTAGGAGTCATATTCTCTGCAAAGACAGCCTGCTTAAGATACCTAGGTCAGTTCCCCGGATGGTCTGCTGCGAGCTTTGCAATCGTGTTCTTCAAGGTTCGGTGCCCCCTTTCCACAGGTACATTGGCCTCAGGGTGATACGGCTCGATGAGTTTGATCGGAACGCAGAGTCTCTTAAGCATCCCCAACACTTCTTGGTTCACAAATTCCGTCCCATTGTCTGCTATAAACCTCCTGACGAACGGATGCCTTAAGTAGAAGTCTTCTATCCAGTCCGCCACACTCCTCCCTGTCTTTTTCTTGAGGGCGGCTGCCTCCACGAACCCACTCAAGTTGTCTCGCGCATCCAGGATATACCTGTACCCATCCGTTGATACAGGCATGACCGCAAGGTCGAGGTGGACCAGATGTCCCGGTCCTAGCACCCGCGTTGGTCTAAGCGGCTCGAAGACTCGTACCGAGCTTCGTTCTTAGCAAATAAGGCAAGTCTGACAGTATATGGCGACCATGTCTGGCCAATAATAGAGCGGCGTTATCTTTGCAAGTATTCCTTTGGACGACCGATGACCTCCAGCTAACCCGTCGTGCATTGCCTGGATAACGTCTACTTGCCTAGATCTTCCGCACACAACCCTTCTGGGCATAGCACCTTCCTCCCTTCGGAACAAATGCCCGCCCCTTAGGACGTACCTCTCGGCTTCTTCTCTTGCTTTAATACTGACTTCCGTAGATTGTTTGTTTCCTACCAACAACAACCCGATCTTCCGAAAAAGCCCTTCGTATGATTGGACATAGAGAAAATCCTCTCCGTCCTGGCCCCCATCCTTTCCTTCCTGCATCTGGTTTACCACCCATTGCAACTCTTTCCTTTCCCAAGACTCCACGAAGCTCATCACTGCCTCCCGGCCTCCCTCGACCGCCATTGCCATTAGCTCCTCTTTCGGTCCTACTATCGCTCCCCATGAGTCCTTTTCTTCTCTGCGTCCTTGAGTGGCAACTGGTCCTTCCCTAAGTTCTGCAACTACGGCAGGTGCCCCCTTCTCCAAAGTTTGGATTAATAGTTCTCCAGATGTGCATCCCTCGCTCATCATTTCGTTATCCACCGCGAGAGTCCCTCCTTCGTATTCGAGAAAGGCGTCTATGGACTCTGCATCCTCCATCCCTTCGGGAGTGATGCAAACCCGACTCAGCCCATCTGCCTTGTTGCGGATTCCAGCAATCCGTTCGATCTTGTACTCGAACTGCCAGATGAATCCTACCCATCTCCCTACCGTTGGATCTATAGGCCTGTAATTCTTCAGAGCCCCTGCGACATTCGTCGAATCGATCCTTAAGATGAACCGCCTCCCAAATAGGTAGGCCTGGAAGGTCTTAAGGCAATGCAAGATGGCTAGGACTTCTTTCTTGAATTGCGAGTACCGCCGTTCTGCGGAGTTCAGGGTTCTACTTTCGAACCTAATCGGTCTCCCTCATCCCTTTGAATCAACACACCTCCTACGACCAAAGGTCTTCCATCCGTCTCTAGGATGAACGGTCGTCCCACTTCGTCATTAAAACAAGGCGCAGAAAGGGTGACTGTCTCAGATGTCAATATGTCCTTGAGCCTTTGGACAACTCCTTCTCGCTCCTTCGTCCAATCCATGGTTCCTTCTTCCCTGATCATAGCCCGGATAGGCTCAGCAATCTTGACAAAGTTCTTAATGAAAATCCTCCAAAAGTCGACTACGCCTAGGAATGCCTTTACCTCCGTTGTCGTGCGCAACGGTGTCGGCCATTGTGATATCTTGTCAGTTTTTGCCGGATCCGGCTTCCTGCCGTAAGCACCACAACGAAATCCTAGTATAGTTACCTCCGGTACTGCTAGGATACTCTTTGGTCCACTAGCCGTAATGTTGTATACTAGGAACCGTCGGAGTAGATCCTTGATGTCCTGCAGGTGGTCCCACACAATACGTCGGATCCCTGGCTGGACTTTCGTCTCGTCCTTCTCCTGCGCACCTTTGATCGGATTGTCATCGATGTAAGGCTTACATTTTTCTGGGAACATGTCCCCGACCACAGCGAGCATCCTGCGTTGCGCTTCGGCCACCGCGTTTGTGAATCCCATAGGTGTCACTTGCATCTGTAGCTGGCCTATGGGGGTGTGCATAGCGGTATATGGCCTGTCCCGAACATCCAATGGAAGCTGGTCGTACCCTGAGTACAGATCTATCAAGGAGTAAATGCTCCGACCGGCGTGCGATTCTGCTAATAAGTCAGCCTGAGGTAGCGAGCCGGCATCCCGGATGGTTACCGCATTCAACTTCTGCAGCTCCTAAATCCACCTTAGTGTCTTGTTAGGCTTCCGAAAGACGAACCACCGATTTGCGTATGGCGATGTCATAGGCTCCGCGACGAAGGAGTCCATCTTCGCTCAGAGGAGGTCTGTTACTTCTCCTGCTATCCCAAATTCATAGGATGACCCCTTATCATTCCAGCACTCATGCTCTACCGTGTGGATTCAGACCGGAGGGATCAACTTCGCATCCAGTCGTCCCTTCTGGTGATCACTGAAGGCAAATGCCAGGTGAAACTCGTGGCAGGTCCTTTTGATCAGGCGGGTTTCTTCTTCTGTTAAGACCCCGTTTATCCCTATCTTCATTGTGTCTGGTACCTCATCTGGTATCCGATGTCCCTCCGTCGCCCTTCTTTCTCGGATCACTCGAAGGACCTCTTTCTCCTTCTCCATAGCCTCTTCCTTTGACGTCTCTAGCAGGATCGAGACCGGTTTTGCTTTCTTCCCTACCGGCTTGTACTTTCGAATACTTCCTTCCAGGATCTTTCTCCTAAAAAATGAACAGTCGGAATTGCCCCCGCCGCCTCTACGACTCGTGGTTGAATACTAACTAGTTTCTCATTCAGGCAATATCCCTTTTGCACCTCTTTTTCGAACTTGGCCAAGGCTGCCGAATCCACTCCTACCTTGTGGTATCTGAGGGCCTTGATGAGTTGCAATAGATCGGGGATTTCGAGTGCGATTTCCGACACGTCTATGCGTACTTCTTTCTGTTTGGGCAGGCTAGCACCAAGTTCGACCTCTGACTCCTTTTCCGCTACCATAACACCTAGGACTTCGTTCTCATGCCTCCTCTTCTTCTGGGGCAGGCCCATCTTGATCCACTCCTTTTTGTTGAATGCTTCCTCTATCATGATTTCTACCCTTTCTCTCATACCCTCCATCCGTGCGAAAACCCCTTTCCGCGTGCTATCCTCGAACGACGGCGACCATGTTGCCAATTTCCCCTTCGGGGGTCTCCTCCCATTCCAAGGAGTCAGAGGAGCTCTCCCCGACCGGTCACAGGGTCCTCTATGTCTACCATGTATGAGCCATCGTGCAAGTGCATGCCTATCATCTCTACGTTCGCGCACCACGGTCTCCCGAGGATAATGTCGTGGTCCATTTCCTCTATTACGGTCATCCGCTGAAATGACCAGATCGATTCCCTGACCCCTGCCTTCACAGCACACTTCGTGACGTACCCAGCGAACGGGATTTCCCTGCCAGCCCCCCGGATGCTCCCTGTTACTTCCTTGTCACCGTACATCCCACGATCGTTGCGAAATCTCTCCTTATGAGAGTGATTTCTGCTCCCCCGTCTACTAATGCGTCGATATGATGACTTCCGATCTGAATTTTCAGTTTCCCTACGGGCAGCGCATGGAAGCTAAGCTTCGTCCCGGGTGGCGATCTCATGACTTCGCCGCCCTCTCGGTCGGGCAAGCTCAAACGAATGTCTGCAAAGGCCTTTTCAAGATCCTCAAAGTCCCCGTGACTCCTCTGAAGGTTAGCCACTTCTTGCGGAGCTTCCTCCTCCCTCTCCCCTTCTGGTAATTCGGGATTGTCGCCTATTTCTACTCGCCTCCGAGTCAACAGTTGTCTGAGCCCTTTGAGCAACCTAGCGCTAGCCTGCAGCATGGTCTGAAAAGACACAGACACCATGGTACCTAGTAACTTGCTAATGGTGTCATCGAGCTCAGGCAAGGTTAAGATCGGGATTTCATACCTAAACTTCTTCTTAGCGGCGGTAACCTTGTCCGCAGGCTCCTCTTCCCTAAGCTTCCTATAGACTTTCTCTGGTTCCTCGGCCTCAGGCTCCGCCTGGGGCTCGGAGCTTCCGGCGACCTCCTCCATAATGGTGTCACGGTTAATCCTTCTCCCGTTCGTTCCCAGTCGAGTGGTTGCGTTCACCCTATCACGTCCGTTGCTTTCCAAAATAAAGTTGGCCTGCGGCCCACGCCTCCGGAGCTGATCCCAGATGATCTCGCCCACCGGTTCGGCTTCTACGGCTGTTATTTCTAACCCGTTGAGCATGATAATGGCTCGCCGCATCCCTCCTGGTGAGTTCCAGTTCACCCGTTCTCCCTGTGGTCTAAATATCTCCCCCTTTAACGACCTGATACACCTTCTTTTCAGAATATCATGGTTGAGCTTTGGGCATGCGCACACATAATGTCCTATCGTGGTGCAGTACTTGCATTGCTCGTTAGCAGGATCTCTCCGTCCGTATCCCTGGTTTGCCACACCTGGCGGGACCACAACTTTCTGGGGGGGGAGGGCAGGTCGGGATACTTGTGCTTGCATAACCATTAGCGCGCCTTTCATCCTTTCAATCTTATTGTCGACCCCGTGCACCCGTTCATGTAGACTTTCAATCCCCTTCTTTACCTTGTCACCCGTCCTACCGGTCAAATCTATGATCTCTCCTTCCTTGAGCAAGGCCAACGTTTCCGTTACTACCGTTTTCTCAGCCAGATCTGTTACCGTGCTAAAATCAACATCCCGCGTGTTTACGAACTTGCTCGTCTGTTGGTAGGCTGACAGGATCTTGTCTTTGTCGAACTCGGAGAACTGCCTGAGGAAATATTTGCTCATTATCCGGTYCGTGACYCCGGGGATCCTTAGTGCTACTAGAGTAAATTCYCGTAGRAAATCRTTGTAYRTTGCGAAGTTYTTCCTCTGAACTGCCGCTAGGTCGGCCTCCGTTGCCATTTTCTCCGCCGCTAGGTACTTCCTCATCATCACATCCCGGGTCTCCTTCCAAGACCGGCTTGCGGCTACAATGACCATTATGTCCCGTCCTAGGCTTAACGACACATGCTGTCCTAGGTGGTCTATCTTTTCCTCCTCGGTCCACTTTAGTAACGCAGCTAGGTTGTCGTAGTCGATCAGGAACTCCGTGATGTTTGCTCTATCGAAAGTCAGTTTTTTCTTGGCGTCTGCCAGATAGCCTTGATTTTTGTTTAGTGCTCGAGCGAGGGACGATACTATCTTCTTAAGGCCGCCCTCAGAGTTGCTGGCCTCGCCTGCCACACTGTTATCCGGGCTCTCCTTGTCTTCTGTCCCTCCCTGGTTTTCATAGTTCCTTCGGGGATCAAAGTCCTTCGCATCCTCGCGCTACTGCTAGCGTTGTCGGGGCAAAAACCCTGACAAGGGTATTTGCCAATGTTTTTGAAAGTTGGACGTTGTCCGACTCTTGCATTAAATTGAAGGACTTGATGAGACTGATGTTTGCCAAACGTTTATTCAGACCAGCGCTATGACTGAGAAAACCTAAACCTTTTAGAACCTGACGTCGG